CACACACACACACACACACACACACACACACACACACATGCGCACTAAGTATAAAAGTTTCCATGATGCATGAATAAGCTGCTTTCTGCAAGTTATGGTTTCTTGCTCCTCATGCTCAACTTTCTGATGCTCATTTAACTTTAAATTTAAAATGGTTTGTTTCTCTGCTTTAGGTTGAACCCAACACAAAACTTTTCCCTGCCGTGTTTGTGCGACCCACCAGCCCTACCCTGTTTCAGTTTGAACTGGCGAAAATAAAGGTAGAGTCCCTGTTTGTTTTTGTGCTATTGTTTTATTTACAACCTTGTTGCTGTACAGCAGGGCTATTCAACTAAATTACTCAGGGGAACACAGTTACTTAAAGCCAAAAACTCGGGATATCCCCGRGGGGTTGTTGGGTGTTGCCCATTAATGGTAGGTGAAACACTGCAGTATATGTAACAGAACAAGTATTTTTTTTACCTGTTAAACTTGTTTATTTTGTTTTATTGAATCATTATTTTAAAATTTACAGTTGATTTAGAGTCTCTTTCAAATTTGAATTAAGTAAAAAAAATAGCAGTCTGGATGGAGGTCAACAAGTGACCCGTGGGTCGCCATTTGAATAACTCTGCTGTACAGTTTGATAAATGTAAAATAAAAAATACTGTGGGGGTGGGGGGGGGGTATTACTCACGTTTCTTGTTTTATTGACTTGCCTGTCATTGTATTTAGAAATAAAATGTACAAACTGGAGGATTTCACTGTASTTACAACACTGATGTAGTTTTATGCTTGTGTCTGTAACAAAGTTAAAATTTATTGTCAAAAAGCTCAGAATTCTCTCCGTGTTTGTTTGTCCTTTGCAGAATGCCATGCCTCTGTCRTCAGCCATCTTTAAAAGTGAGCACAAAAACCCGGTGCCCCAGTCCCCGCCCCGACTGGATGTGCAGACAATTAATGCGGTTCTGTGGAGCCGCATGCCCAACACCTTCCTCAAAGTGGAGACAGCCAGAGTGAGTGAGAGGCACGGCTGGGTGGTTCAGTGTGTGGAACCCCTGCAGATGCTGGCAGTCCACATACCTGAGGAGAACAGGTGTGTTTGTTCATCGGGTTTATTTAGTGTATTTTTGCTCATTTCAAACAAGCTAATACTCTTTTTGTACATATAAAAATAATGGTRGCACTTTATAATAACTACACCGTATTTAGCCTTATTTAATCATTAATAAATGGTTAGTTAACCTTGAAAACATCATTAATTAGGGAAGATTCATATGTAATTAGCTATTAACACATTATTAATCTTCACCCATAAAGTCTAATTACTTCCAAAACCAACATATTCATTATTCATGCTTAATAACTCATGAATTAACTATTCTATATACAGTGAATTTATACAGTATGTAAATATTTATATGTATAAATGCTCATGTAGTTGTACTTTCACATCACGTGCAGTGCATCAATAAGTAGGCAGTTGCTAGTTAGTTGTCTTTTTGTGAGCATTTGTAAAGTATTTCCTAAGTATTTGTTAATGTAGACAAAACCTTGAAGGGTCACAAGTTCTGTTTCACCTGTGGAAATCAGACCCAAATCWTGGTCAAGTAAGGCTAAATAAGRTGTAGTTATTATAAACRGTTACCAAAATWATCAAACWAAGTGCCCTAATCAAATACCTGCAACTTTCATTGCTCAAAGGTGTGTCGATATCATGGAGCTGTCCGAGCAGGAGGACATGCGAATGTTCCACTACCACACCTTGAAGCTCTACTGTGCCCTCTGTGCGCTGGGAAACACCCGTGTGGCCCACGCCCTCTGCAGCCACCTGGACCAATCGCAGCTTGTCTACACCATCGACAATCAGTACTTGTCTGGCATGTTGCGTGAAGGCTTCTACAACGTTCTGATCAGCATCCACTTGGAGACGGCCAAAGAGGCAAGACTCATGATGAAGGATGAGTTCATCATTCCAGTCACAGCTGAAACGCGCTCCATTCGTCTGTTTTCCGACGCTTCTAAAAAGCACAGTCTGCCTGGAGTGGGGCTTAGTACCTCTTTAAAACCTCGCCTCAACTTTACTCCGCCGTGTTTCATCAGCACCAAACGGGAGCATTTGTATAGTCCGCAAATGCCCCTGGATGTACTAAAAGAGAAAGCAATTTCAATGCTGACGGAGGCCGTTTACGGCGGCGGGCACCACATTCGGGATCCTGTAGGAGGTGGTGTGGAGTATCAGTTTGTGCCCATCTTGAGGCTTATTAGCACTTTGCTGACTATGGGGGTTTTAGGCAGTGAGGATGTTCAGAAGATTTTGCTACTCATCGACCCAAATGTGTTCAGAGGGACACGGAAGGGGGGAGGAACAGGACACACAGACAAGGAGGGTCTTAAAGGGACAGAGGGCAAGGCAGTGGAAGCAGGAGAAGAGGAGGCAGCCAAGGAGGCAAAACAACCAATGGAGGGACTGCTGGAGAAGAGGCTTCCAGAGCCTGTTAAACGACAGGTAATAAAGCAAACACCATGAATTCTTACTCAAAAGATTTAGCGTCAACATAAATGTGTTGGACAGTAATGTAAAGCAATTATAGCTCGTCTGTAATCGGCATATCAGAGGTCAGTCAGACATGAAATGGTTCTGTCTCGCGCTGTAGCTTGATCTGTTGGTGAAGATGCTTCTTTAATACGATTATGGGAAGCCCTGTGGCATCTGAATGTTTTTCTAACAACCTCCCTAATGAGAGTCGTGTGTAGGCATGAAGAGGTGGGGTGGGGAGTCCCTGTATCTGTTATCATCTGTTCGCCTCCTTTCCAGATGTGTGAGCTGCTGCATTATTTCTGTGACTGTGAGCTGAAGCACCGCATCGAGGCCATCGTGTCCTTTTCCGACAGCTTCGTTTCCAAACTGCAGTACAACCAGAAGTTCCGCTACAATGAGCTCATGCTGGCCCTGAATATGTCTGCAGCCGTCACAGCAAAGAAGACCAAAGAGTTCAGATCGCCTCCTCAAGAGCAGGTGAGACGAACACTGCTGGAAAGGATGGAAAAGTAGTTTATTAGGCCTGACGTATTTATTTTTATTCATTTGTAATTCTTGGGAATAGAAATATTGAAGAAACCAACACAGCAGATGTAGGCCAGTTCTGGTGTCAAGCTGGCACWGCTGGCATGGCAAGTGTTTTGTCAACAGGATGTGGGCCAGGTCTGGCAATGATGGCACTGTTTTTAAGATGGCATGGCAGTTGGGGTTTGGTCAGAGTTGTAAAGTAACTAAGTACAAATACTTTGTTACTGTACTTAAGTAGAAATTTTGGTTATATGTACTTTACTTGAGTAATTATTTTTCAGCGTACTTTTTACTTTTACTCATTACATTTTTACACAATTACCTGTACTTTCTACTCACTACATTTTTAAAAAGGGTAAGAAGTAGAAAGTCGCTACTCCTATTTTATTCTGAGTTATTACTTAAAAAAATACTATCCTGATAAATCGTGTCTCCTGGATAGAGTGAATTTAATTGTGGTTGGATGAGAAGTATAAATATACACCATTCTGACACCCCATTAGCTTGTACACAACCCATCACAGCTGCACGCCGTTAGAAAAAATGTTTTTTGGAGAAGTCACCTCCCAATAAATGTCATTTTTGGAAAATCTAACTGCTCACTTTTAATCAGTACTTTTACTTTTCATACTTAAGTAGATTTTGTGTCAGAAATTTACTTTTGAAAATATCAGATACTTTAAGACTTTTACTCAAGTAATATTTTTAGAGCAGACTTTAACTTTAACCAAAGTATTTTTATGATAAGATACTTGTACTTTTACTCAATTATCACTTTGAGGTATTTTATACAACATTGGGTTTGGTTAATGTGGTCCAAATCAACTTATACCATAAATGGCCTGATTGTGGTTTGATTAATGTGGTGCTGGTCCATGGATGAACCATCTCTAGCAAACCACATCTGAACCACATGTGGGCCAGACAAATTTTGCGATGTGGTTACCTCCCTCACCAGTTAGTTTGGGAGGTAAAACTGACTGGAATAAAGATTATATCCATAGAGGAGAAGGAAAAAAAAACTGAACAGAAGCTCCAAAAGAGCAACGCACACAAKACACCAAAGTTTTAAATCCACATACAAATGAAAAGCTCAACAAGATTTAAACAAAGCTCAAAACCAAATCCACACAAAGTAGAACATTCAGATCAGAACATCACAAAGAAGATGCTCTCTTTATGCCACCGTTGCTCTCCTTTGCTTGTTCACACCATCAAAAAGCTTCGGCATAAAACAGCTCCATTGTGTGCATCTAAATAGCATGACAGAGACAACAATGCCGAGGACGGTCTGTTCCCTCACAGCAACTCCTCTTTACAAACACTTGTCAGTTTAGCTCCATCACTGTTTCTACGTTCAGTTTTTAGACACCRACTTTGACTCCCTCTGAAGTCTATACTCCCACACGTGTAAAGAGCTCTAAGGCTTTAAAGCGAGTATTATCAACACTGTAGATGTGCAGCACCATTAATTATTTTTACTCACTGTTTCTTTTAAATTGATTTATCTGCACATCTGTACAAAACATGAGAGCTGATGCTTTTTATTATGTTTGAATTCCTAAATTGCTTTAGATGGGCTCTGGTAAAAAATCAGTTTTTGAAACCTTCCTCAAACTTGCTCATATCACCATAATAGAAAACATTTAATACTATTATTAAGTGTGAGCTGCATATTATATGTATAAAGATTCAAACAAATCAATCCACTTAATTGTCAAGAGATGGTTTATTAGATTAAATTTTGTTCCATTCGATTAACTGATAACGTCTGCCTTGATGGACTGGAAAGCTCTCGACTCTATTCAAACTTATTTGTCAAGCAGCAAAAAATCGACAGGAAGAAGATAAGAAAAAGACGTGAAAGCTGAATGGAGTGTGGCAGCAATGAAGGGAAAGCGAGAGCGGGAAATAGGAATTAAATGAGTCAAATTTAGCATGTTTAGATTTTATAGTTTTGATGTAGTTTGTGTCGTTAGACAGTTTCATAAATAAATCATAAATTCTAAATGTAAATAAATTCTAAGACTAATTAAGAATAATGTTATATACAGTATTTCTCTTCAATCAACTTTAGATTAGTTCTAGCACTGGGCATAGATTGAAATTTTCTGTTGCAATTAATCGTTATTAATTGCAATTATTTTTTTAGAAACGATCACTGTACTATGGCTGAAAGTTTGTATGTTGCAATACACCGTGCATGACACACTTTGTACATTTTTTTTCCTTTTTATCTTCTTGTGGCTTATTTATTTATTTATTTATTTATTTATTTATTTATTTATTTATTTATTTATTTATTTCCGACACCTCAGTATCTATCTTTCATTCCTCATTTGGAATAAATGATTTCTTGATTTAACCTCATTATTCTGCACAAAATTTAGCTGATTTAAAGATGTTTAGTGCGTTTTTTTTCAGTACTGCTTTATATTTAAAAAAAGCGGGACACTCATTTTCACAAACTTTAAACAAATAAGGCAAAGTAAGCTGGTTTTACATTTTCCTTTTTTTCCTCTCTCTTCTCTAACACGCRAACCTCGTGTTTTACGGTGGTTTTAAACTGAAGTGATATTCCAGGCTYGCACTGCTCTGCTGGTGAGACAGTTCAGTGTTTTTAGATCTGTTGTGCTGATTTTATTCATGGCTCTGCTTCACGTGTGTTTGGATATTTGTTTTACCTGCATTTTCTCTTAATTTGTTTTGACCACACAGTTGTGGATTTCTCCTGGCAACATCCACAGAATTTCATTGTGTGACTGTATTAGATCAAAAATACTAAAAGCACCAAATGTTCTCAAGGAACTGAGGTACATCATGTATTGTTTGAAGCTAGTTGGTGGAGAGCTTTTAGGTAAGCAATTAAATCCTTCACTTTCTGTCCTCTGTTCACGTCTGCGTTGTGATCTGGAAAGCAGATTGGTGCAGTGACCCCAAAGAAGACCAGCGGGGGCTCTACTTTAAAATGTGCATTTAACTGGATAAAGGGGAGAAGATGTGTAACATTTCTGATTTTTCATAGTTAACTCCCCTTCTAATATCAGTCCCTTGGGTTTTCTAATAGTTTCTCAGTCTGGCTTTTTGGCCCAGAGAGCGAAAACGCTTCCTCGTTGCAAATGTTCCTGAAAATGYCCGTATGTCGAAAAAAAGCTTTAAGGCGAATTCATGCCGTGTCCCAGTGAGCGAGTGCTCTCAGCAGACATTCAGTACAGTGGCTCTTTAATGTAACAGCTGGAGACAAAGCACTGCACTTGACAGCTGCTTTAATAACTTGTAAGGTTGTCCTTTTTGCCTGCTTTGAGTTTGAAGAGAGATTTAGCCACTTAAGCACTTTTGTTTCTTTTAGTGAATCCTGCATAATGTTACATAATCTTCAGCTGGCTTTTAAACCTAAAGGCAATCAAAGTTATGTAACACTTTACAAATGGGGCTTTTTATATAGGGTTTCTGGTGAATATATATATAT